TTCGACCTGAACGGTCTCAACTCTCGGTTTTCGACCTGAACGGTCTCGACTCTCGGTTTTCGACCTGAACGGTCTCGACTCTTGGTTTTCGACCTCAACGGTCTCTACTTTTGGTTTTCGACCTCAACGGTCTTGACTCCCGGTTTTCGACCTCAATGGTCTCGACTCTCGGTTTTCGACCTCAACGGTCTCGACCCTCGGTTCTCGATCTCAACGGTCTTGACTCTCGGTTCTCGACCTGAACGGTCTCGACCCTCGGTTCTCGACCTCAACGGTCTCGACCCTCGGTTCTCGACCTCAACGGTCTCAGCTCTCGGTTCTCGACCTGAACGGTCTTGACTCTCGGTTCTCGACCTCAACGGTCTCGACCCTCGGTTCTCGACCTCAACGGTCTCAACTCTCGGTTCTCGACCTGAACGGTCTCGACCCTCGGCTCTCGACCTCAAGGGTCTCAACTCTCGGTTTTCGACCTGAACGGTCTCGACTCTCAGTTTTCGACCTCAACGTTCTCTACTTTTGGTTTTCGACATCAACGGTCTTGACTCTCAGTTTTCGACCTCAATGGTGTCGACTCTCGGTTTTCGACCTCAACGGTCTCGACCCTCGGTTCTCGACCTCAACGGTCTCGACTCTCAGTTCTCGACCTCAACGGTCTCGACCCTCGGTTCTCGACCTCAACAGTCTCAACTCTCGGTTCTCGACCTGAACGGTCTCGTCCCTCGACTCTCGACCTCAACGGTCTCGACTCTCGGTTCTCGACCTCAACGGTCTCAACTTTAGGTTTTCGACCTCGACGGTCTCAACCCTCGGTTTTCGACCTGAACGGTCTCAACTCTCGGTTTTCGACCTGAACGATCTCGACTCTCGGTTTTCGACCTCAACGGTCTTCACTTTTGGTTCTCGACCTCAACGGTCTCGACTCTCGGTTCTCGACCTGAACGGTCTTGACCCTTGGTTCTCGACTTCAACGGTCTCGACCCTCGGTTCTCGACCTCAACGGTCTCGACCCTCGGTTCTCGACCTCAATGGTCTCGACCCTCGGTTCTCGACCTCAATGGTCTCAACTCTCGGTTCTCGACCTCAACGATCTCGACTCTCGGTTCTCGACCTCAACGGTCTCAACTCTCGGTTCTCGACCTCAACGGTCTCAACTCTCGGTTTTTGACCTCGACGGTCTCAACTCTCGATTCTCGACCTCAACGGTCTTAACTCTCAGTTCTCGACCTGAACGGTCTCGACCCTCGGCTCTCGACCTCAACGGTCTCGACTCTCGGTTCTCGACCTCAACGGTCTCAACTCTTGGTTTTTGACCTCGACGGTCTCAACTCTCGATTCTCGACCTCAACGGTTTCAACTCTCGGTTCTCGACCTGAACAGTCTCGACCTCGGCTCTCGACCTCAATGGTCTAGACTCTTGGTTCTCGACCTCAAC